AGGGTGTTTCTTCGTGCCATCAATCAGTTTACTGAAGTGCTCACAAGACGCTTCATGGATCAGGCAAACTTTGAGCTTCAGGTAAGCCTGTGGTTCACTTCCGGCATTCCAGTTCCCAAAACACCCCCTGGAAACCCACTGCTTCCAAGAGAACGCGTTCTCGGTTTCCCTCCTTCCTGCAGCCCACATTTCCTGCATTTCTGTTGGCCCCAGAGCACATTTTGTTGGTGAAGGGCTTTTGCTGTGGCATGTGCCTTTGCTGTACAGGTCTTTGATAACCTGTTCACCCACTGTATTATTGACCTTTTCAGGGGCATCTTTCATAATATTTGCAGTGGCTGGATGCAGTCCAAGGTGCAGGTTGTCTCTGGTCTATTTAATCAAGCTCTTCTTATGACCGATTAGATTGCTTCCATTTTCTGTTATGTTAAATAGCACAGTGGTGGCCTTCCTGGTGTTAAGCATTTAAAATTACCCATGTGACTTAGTTAGGATGAAATCTTGAAAATCTCGACTAGTTCAAACATTTGGCGAAGTTTCCTGGCTTTTGAAATACATTGCTAAGTGACTCGCTGCAAAGAAAGACCCTTCCAGCATCTATTCCTGGCAGCCGTTTTCCTTTCTCCCAGGAGTTAAGACAACTATAGTAAGATAAAACAAATATTACTAAAACTTACCGATACCATCAGACTTGGAGGGCTGAATAATTGAAACACAAGAAAGAAGCAGCCGTCAACGGGGGTTTTTGTTAAAGGTGTATCTGTTTGGTTTGGTTTTCATGGATTCCTGGCGAGGCCTCTCCTATTTAGTGCTGATTAAGTGTGACCCTCGGTAATGTTATTTTCCATTTGTTTCCCCCCACACAATTAATTTTGAACAGCTCTGGAACAATTACTTCCATCTGGCAGTAGCGTTTCTCACCCATGAGTCCCTTCAGCTTGAAACCTTCTCACAAGCCAAGCGCAACAAAATTGTAAAAAAGTAAGTGTCCTGCGAAACACGTTGATGAGGTGGGAATCCGATTGTTTCGTTTGTACTTGGAGCACTGTTTTGGGTGTCAGGCAGATGATGGTTCAATGACTGTTCATGTAGTCAGTGAGCTAGACCTTCAAATAATCATTAGACCTCACATTGCCCCAGGTTCGTGCCACTTTTCTCAACGCCCTGCTCATTTTTGTAACAAACCATCCTGTTCCTGAAAGAGGATCTAGACCTAAAGGAAGGAGTCCTGTTGGCGCATAGCTAAGCGCGAACCAAACAGCAGGTGGCTCTAACCCAGCAGCAGCGCAGATGGAGGAAGTTGTGAGTGTTGGTTTCCGAAACTATTACAGCCTTGGAAACTCAGTTGTGCTAAAGCCCCTGTGAAGGCAAAAGATACCTGGAGAGACATTTGGGTTAGCCAGCGCTCCATCTGCTGGCAGTTTATCCAAATTGCAGGCAGAGTGGCCTCTACTTCCCCAGTGCAGCAGACCCCAGTCTCCTTTGACACAGTTGCTGTGCCTCTGGGTCCTGTCACCAAAGAAGCCCAGACTGAAAAACAGCGCCCCAAATGCCCTCTGGATTGTCCACTCGGAATTGAAGATGAAGTTACTGCAGAATGGATGAGAGATTCAGGGAAGCTTTTCATTGCTGTCATCTCATTTCTGTTTTAGAATTAATCGAGAGCCTGGAAACTCGGGGGTTTTGTAGTTAGAAATATCTTGAGAAACCACCTCATTTAATGGCTGTGAACTTTTAGTTCAATTCCCCCTGTTGGGATAGCTGGGATTTAAGGGGAATTAAATCTCTCTAAAAATACTGAGATTGGGAACGAAGAGATTTCGTGACTGGGTATGTTAAAAGATAAGAATAAATCCTATTGGTTTTTGGG